CCTAGAAGTGCATTTAATTAAATTGCATGTAATTTTACAAACTCTTCAGATACTGATGAACCCATTTTTTCGTAGATGCTAAGGGAATAGTGGAGTAGACAATGGAAGTTGTGGGTTTTAGAACCCTTGATTCCACAGTTGATGGTTTCACCCTAAAACTGTACCCTTTATTTAAATGCACTGGCAGAGAATACTTTCTTCTGAAACTGACTGACGTTTCTTGAACATGGTGATATTTTAATCCTTAGAAAGTCATGTGCTCCAGTTTAATAGATACCAGTGTTATCGTTGCTTTCAGTAAAGCAGATTAAAGACACTTAGGGACTTTCCCCAATCCATAGTTCCTGTCCTTACCCTGGAACCCTGTTCTCATAGCACAATATGTCTCTTTTAGCTGCATCACTCTCTGAAGAACATCCACTTTCACAATCCTGCTGGAGACCAAGTGAACTTGGATGACAGAAGGAAATTGGATTCAGAGTATGACGTTCTCAATTTTTGGAATTTTCCAGAAGGCGTTAGACTGAACGCTAGAGTAGGAACATTTTCTTGGCATGCTCCCCATGGCCAAAAAATGACTTTATCTGAGGACATGATAGAGTGGGTCACAGGAACTGCAGAGGTATGCTGGACCTCTCACTGCACAGTTATTTAACCACAAGTGACGTAAACACTGTCCTAGCTTCTCTGCCCCAAATTTTGCTCATGTAGTGGTCATATGTGGAAACTGAATAATAATAATGTTTTCAATATAAAAATATGATTTAGAACCTTTCTGATAAGTGGGAATGTAATGCATTCAGTTAATTATATTTTTATAAATATATTTCATATAAAGAAATTAATTTGGGATTCAATTTTATACCTTTCCTCATGTATGCAAATTAATGTTCTCTCTCTCACTCTGAAGAAGTAACTAAAAGTCAAAGATGTTACCACTATATGTATTCTCCTTAGACTCCCCGCTCGGTATGCAGTGAGAGTTGCAATCCTGGATTTAGAAAAAGCCCTCAGGAGGGAAAGGCTGCCTGTTGTTTTGATTGCATCCCTTGTGCAGACAATGAAATCACCAATGACACAGGTAGGAGCAATCACCAATGCGTCCTGCTTTTGCATTCTCACTTTATTTGATATTCACTCCATCCATCCATCCAGGAAATGCAAAAAATCTTGTAGAAAGGAATGATAAAAATCTTCCTCCACTTATCAAATTATTTGTTATCCTGAGTGCTGTTGCTTGGTTGGAAAACACATTTTCCCCTTTCAAATGCACTCTAATTTCGTTTCCTTCTATTTCATTCTTATTCATCTTGTTTTGTTTGCCTTTTCCACTGCTAGAAATTAAACCACAATATGCTCTATCAGTGATCTATGTCGCCAGCTATTCTTATTTGGTATTATGGACAGAATATCACCAATTTGCTTAGAGTGACTCAGGAATTCAATAAACCAATCTCTGTCCACCAATAATCTGGAATAACACCTAGGCACCACCACATGGGACTACAATGATTTATTTTTCTATTCCCATTAAATGCAGTATTTTCTCAAGAAAAGCCCTTTCCCCTCTCCTACCACTTCTAAGGTCCATCTCCGTCATGAAGTTTAACACGGAGTAGGATTACAGCCAACTCTTTTGAGCCTTTGGAACCACAGACAGTTTACAGGCAATACAAGATCAGGCACACTTCGTCTTCCAGGGCCTGACGGTATTCTTCACACAAAGCAGTGCTCAGACTGATTGAATTTGATTGGAGGTGAGGCATGTCTTTGCTGTACAACATGCTTATAGCACAGCACAATCCAATTCCTAGGATTTTATCTCCATTCTCCTAAAATGCATAGGTGGGTGGGGAAACAGACAATGACATAAATTGGAGTCTACCACAGAACTGCAAGGATAAGGGATTTCACAAGTGATAATAAGTACATTTGAGGAGGGTGTCATAGGCATTTTTATAGAGATGATGGCTTTAGAGTTATATCACAATAAAAAGAGGTAGCATAAATCCTTTTAGGATTAGTATAAAAGGCCAAAATGGCATATTCAACATTCATGGAATATTTAAATATTCCATGAAGGAAAATACCATATTACTAAAACACAGATAAAATGAGGATGAGAATTGAAATATATTCTATAAACTATATGTCTTCTACAGTAGAAGACTGTTGCATGCCATAAGTACCACTTTGGAAATATTTAGCTTTCCAATAAATCATGGCATGGTGGAATAATCTTCCTACTGAATATTTTCTAAAGTGGTTTTGTGGTTGATATAAATTTTTATTTCAAAACATTTAATGTGATTTCAAGTGCTCTCTGCAGTACATTAAGACTAATTATGTACTGTATCATGTAGTTATTTTCAATATATATTTCCAGAAAGTATAGGAATATGCTTCTTTTTAAATATGTTCTATGTGCACATATAGAGAACAATTCACGCAATAATATCAGTTAATACATGCTTCCAGTATGTATAATACTGTCATATATACTATATAGAATAGATCAAAGCACAAACTAAAAATCATGTGGGAATAAAAATCCTTTGTGTTAAAGCTAAGTCTATAGTGAGACAAATATACATTCTATATTACACATCCTTTTGTGCTGTTCTATATTTAAATAGAAGATGAAGCTCTGCATTTGAAATATTCATCACACACTACAAAAACGTATAACAAGTTGAAAAGAAGAAAATGAAAGTTGCTATGTCTGAAAGAAATTTTTAGAAAATTAAGACACATAAAAATAAACAGAATTAAATGTGGTTCTGGTAACAAAAAGTGACAACTCCTAGTACAACTGGGCAACAAGGAAACAAGAATTCCAAGTTTGCATATCTTGAGACATTTGACCATGAGTACAGTTCTAAAGAAAACCTTTCATAGGGTAATATAAGTAATTTCACATTAATCTGTGCTTGAAATTTATAAAGTCCCAGGAAAAGTTAGCAAACCATTCCTAAAAAGCGATAAAAAGGCTCCAAGTACTTATATCTCTACAGTACCAGGTCTATGAACGGGTGGGAGCGTATAGTGTAATGCTTCCCTCCAAATTTTTGTTGATTAATAATGTTAGCAGTGAAATTTATGAGCACTTAAAGACATATTAATATTGACCTCGTTCTATCAGAGAAAGGGGAAAGAGGAAAATCAATTCATTTTAACACAGGAGCTAAATTGTATTACTCAAAGCTGAAAATGCATTTAGAGGAAATGGAGGTCACAGCCCACTTTCCTTTTCAAACTAAATTCACATATTCTATTTCAAATTGAGGTATGTGCTTCAGGGGGTGTTAGAAACTCAGAAAAATGCACTTTATAAAATATAATTAAGTACAGTAGCTCCTGGGAAAATAAAACCAATGCTAATAAATGCAAACAATATTTTAAAAGTGTACATCAGTGTGATTTACAAAGAAACAACAAGAGTATTTCTTACCAAATGAGCAGATGAAAAGTGTCTAACTGCCCCTCAGAAATGGAATTATTATATCCTATAGCTCACCTTGCAATTTGTGATCCATTTTTGAAGGCAAGAATTACATAAAGACTCTCTGTATCACATTTCGCCAGACATTACACTCTACATCATGGTCAGTGTAATGAAGAAAACACACAAAAACAAAAATATATTAGAAAGGGAGAAACATAAATGATAGCATTTTTCTTTGACACTAGTTTTTAAATATAAAATCCATGTAAATGGATAAAATGATAGTGGATTTCCTGGTAATGGTACACAAGGATATTACAAAAAAAATTGTCTCCAAAGTCATAAGGCAGTCCGAGTTAAAAATCTGAAAATTGATTTTTACAACATTTAAAATGATTACATATGTAGTAATATATCCTGTAATGGTTTTGAAGTTACCAGAATTAAATGGTTGAAATACCCCTTTGACAATAACAATTATATGAGTGGATGCATTAAGCATGTTCATAGATGGAGAGGCTCAGGAATGGAACTAGTTAACATTCAATGTTTTCTTTCATATATTTCCCTGGGACTTAGCAAATCTTGTTGGGTTCCTCATATGAGGTTGTACATTGGCTATCTGGGGAGTCATTCTTACAGATTTTATTTAGATCAAACAAGTGAACTACGTAATAAAGGTTGATCCTTCATTACTTTGTAAATACATAATGCTTTTATGGATATGTCAGATTTAGAAGGAGAATGAATAATGATAGTATTATTTAGGAGTTATTATCTTTATACTGTTCTTTTATTTTGTGTCTAGAAAGCAATGGTGAAGTGAGGTGTGATGAAGCATGTCTGAAATCTAGGGCTTTGCAAGGTTGAGTCAAGGGGATTTAAGTCCACACAACATAATGACTTAAGGAGATCCTTTCTCAAAATATAAATCTTAAAAGGGTTGGAAATATATTTCGGAGCAAGGTTTCTGAGGTCATTCTCACATAGAGAAAAACAAAGAGAAAGACAGAAAAAGAAAGAGAAAGAAAGAAAAGAAAGAAAAAATTTAAAAGTACCCATTTAGTTAAGGAAGTCCAATGAGTTTCTCAGGAAGCTTGCAAAAAAAATATAATAGAATAATAAAGAATAAAACCTAGGCAAGTGACAATTTTAATTTTTGCTAGATATGGAGCAGTGTGTGAAGTGTCCAGATCACCAGTATGCCAACACTCAGAGAAACCATTGCCTGAAAAAAGCTGTGACTTTTCTGGCTTATGAAGATCCCTTGGGGAAGGCTCTGGCTGGCACCGCCCTGAGTCTCACTGTCCTCACAGCTGCTGTCCTTGGGCTCTTTGTGAAGCACCGACACACTCCCATCGTCAAGGCCAACAACCAGGCTCTCAGCTACACCCTGCTCATCTCCCTCACCTGCTGTTTCCTCTGCTCCTTGCTCTTCATTGGCCGGCCCAGCACAGCCACCTGCATCCTGCAGCAGACTACATTTGCAGTCGTGTTCACTGTGGCTGTTTCCACTGTCTTGGCCAAAACCATTACTGTGGTGCTGGCCTTTAAGGTCACTGCTCCAGGCAGAAGGATGAGGCAGTTGCTGGTATCAGGGGCTCCTAACTCCATCATCCCTATCTGCTCCCTGATCCAACTCACTCTCTGTGGAGTCTGGATGGGGACAA